TTGTGTATGGGATTGCAAACAGAAACCATTCGCAGACGGCAACATTTTTTAACGAAAACCATCCCAACAAAAATGTATCTGTATGTAAGAAACCTAATATACAAAAAATTTTTCAAACCGCATCGGTAAATAATAAAATACGTGACAGGAATAATCGTGGTGCACGAGATGAAGCAATGCAAGTAGCAGTTCTTGGTCGCGTAAATTTAGACCACAGCTTTCAGTTAGAAAATTATCAGAAACTTTGAGAGTGGCAAAATCAACGTGCCATAAAATATTAAAATTAAATAAAGTGCATCCGTATAAAATACAACTTCATCAATAGTTGGGTGATGATGACTTCGCTAGGAGAGTCCAATTTTGTGAAACTATTAGAAGCATGATTCGGAAAAATAGAAATATTTTGCGAAATATTGTTTCAGTGACGAAAGTTACTTTTTCTTAAATCGTTTAGTGAATAGACACAATTGTCGATATTGGAGTGATGTTTGTTAATTCCTACGTTATCCGAGAAGGCCAAACGCAACGACACCAAAAAAATTATGTATGGGCTGGAATTCTTAATAACCAAATAATTGGTCCAATTTTCTACCACGAAAATTTAACTGGACCTAGGTATCTAGAGTTTTTGAAATAATAAATACATCCTTTTATTATTCAGTGTTTGGAAGAAAACTTAGATCAAATACAGGAGGGTCAGTTATACTTTCAGCAAGACGGAACTCTCCCTCATTACTGTTTAGAAGTCGGCAATATTTGAATACCATTTTTCCAGGACAATGGATAGATCGTAGGGATCCTATTGAATGGCCAGCTCGATCCCCAAACTTGACCCCAATGGATTTCTTTTTATGGGGACATTTGAAGTCTGTTGTTTACAGGACACTACCATAATCCATTAATGATTTGCGTAATTTAATCATAGAGGAACGTTGAAATTTAACACCACAAACAAGTCTTTGAAAATGTTCGGAACGCTTTCGACTGTATTTTTTTTGTGTGTCATCGGCTTCAACTGCTAAGGTTATTTCGCCTCGTGTTCTGTGTAGGCTTTGTTACTGTTTCCCAGTGCCACTTTAGGAACAGCACTGTTAATTAGAACCCAACAGTGAATGGTCGAGTGGGGAATCCTACCAAGGCAAGTCGACTGCATTATTGTTTAAATGTAAATGGTGAACATTTGATTTAATTAAAATAATGTAAAGAGTCCTTGTTTTAGTTTAAAAAATGAAATTTTGTTGGTTTATAAGAATATTCTTTTTTGTGATAAGTTGTATTTTTATGATAAGTTCTTGAACTTAATTTTTGTTATTTGCTTTAAGTATTTCGACATTTGTCTGCTGTCACTGTCCAAGGCTACCCGTTCTTTTTCTTAACATCTGGTAGCTGAACCTTTAGCTGTAAATATATTGCAAAGTATGAAGTCATTTTTTTACATAGAGGTACTAAAAAAAGGTACGATCTTTCAGAATGTCAAAAAAATACAGGGTGTCATTTAAATTGTTGTACCTGGGACTTGGGGACAGCGAATAAAACTTTGGGGTGGTTTCTCATGTGCTATTATTTTCCCCCCTATTTCCTTAATGACATTAGTCGATATCTTTTAAAATACCAGATATAATTCCATTTAAAGTTTTTGCGTGGACACCCGGTATATATATGACCTTTTTTTTGTTTTCTTTGTCCGGTCTCTTCACTTGTTTTTGATCGACTTTTTGTTTTTTCGGCTCTTCACTTGTTTTTTTGATGTACCTCCTGCTGCGTTTATATTTCGGCGCGAAAACTTGATTTCGAAGTGATTTAGGTGATGATGTTCGAACATGATTTTCGGTGAATTCGGAATTTCCGTGAAAGTTTCGAAAATTTCTAGAAAATTTGTAGTGATTTCGAATGAAAACATACCAGTGATACCACTAAGGTCAAAACATACCCGTATTTCGGAAATCATTGAAGAGCATCGTCATTTAATAATATGGAAGTTCTCGAAGGTTTCATTTTTGGTTTCGCTTTAAGCTGATTTCGGAGCCTATACATTTAAAAAATTATAATTTCTTCGTAAGCCCTTACCTACACATTCAACAGAAATTGGACGAGGCTATACGTAAATAACATAATAACCACGATACATGGTTGATGAACCCTCTTAAGAGGTCACTTCCTCTAAAGTGCTTATTACTACATATCCGCTACTGTCGGTGTTGGTAGCTGAGCGTTTGAAGGGTGGACAAGAAATGAATGTTTAGCTCGTAAAATACGAAATGTAATTTTAAAAAGAATGGGATAAACTAAAGTCGATCGAGAATTTCTTTTATCTTAAATTGACAAGGTTTTCAAAGTGACTATTAATTTTGTGTTAAACTTTAAGTGTGACTAACCATGTTTAATATTTATAATAAGTAGTAAATTATTTCAACATAGCAGAAATAATAGGCAATAATTGAAGGTCATTTATTAATACTATATTGATCTGTATTTACTTTTAAAAAATTATCATTTTCTCAAATATATTTTTTATATTGTTACGTCTGTTTATTTTAAACAACAGTTTATTTGTTAATAATTTATTTGAACACTTATTTATTTTAAAACAATATTATTCTAATTTATATATATTTCGAATGTCTTTAAATTGTTCACTATTTATCTTCACAACTGTTTGTAAACGACTGACCGCACCGTGTTCCTCCACCAATATTTATATACACACTTAAAATTTTGGTGAATGATCTAGAATGTTCTCTCGCCAAAACAAGAAACATTATTACGTTCAATCTGGAATGTACTCGAAAGCGCCTTCGCCATAGTCATCACATATGTTTGGTCTTAAGGGGTTTAATTATGTATGATAATCGGCCAAGTTGAGCATCAATGGCCAAATAGGCAGAGAGGGACTTGGAAAATTAGAGCATGATTGAATAATGAAATGGCTCGCATTACAATGTTGTTTATTTTTTAACAATTTAAGTTATTGTTACATAACTTGTGGTTAAGTTAATAATAAAAAATTAAAGCGTTTCCATTTTTACTGGACCGGCACGACATAGTTTTAATTAACTTCACGCGCCGGTCCGAGTGGTCTCATCCGCCCCTGTTTAATTTTGTAATTACCTAGCCACTTCTTTATCCGACGAATATTATGTCATATTTATCGTTTATTTTGTCAAAGACGGTAATTGATGTTAGTTTGTAGTTTTGTATGGTATTGTGTTTGTCTCCCAGAAAAAGAAAAAATTGTCATTGTGTATAATTGAAAGTCAGGACAGTTTAAAGAATGTTGAACGAATTGGCACATTTGAAAGAAGAATTCCTTTCATCATACAAACTCATGGTATAAAAAATAAAATGCAAACTACGAGGGTCATTCAATAAGTAAAGAGACAAATGGCTATAGCTCAAAACCGGTTTATTTCAGTCTTTCAAAATTAAGGATATTTTTCAACATAATCACCCCCCACAGTTATGCACTTGTCCCGTCTTTCTTGCAGCTTCCTAATTCCCTTGGCGAAGAATTCTTTCGATTTACCCCGAAGCCACTTTTAGCAAATCTTTTTCCACGTAGGGCGTCTTTGAGTGGTTCAAACAGGTAAAAATCAGATGGGACGAGATCGGGACTGTAGGCAGGATGAGGTAAGACCTCCCAACCCAATTCTTGAAGCTTATCACGGGTCAGCTGAGCTGTATGAGGGCGGACGTTATCGTACTGAAGAATTACTCCTTTTGACAAGAGTCTACGGCGTTCGCTCCTGATAGCTGTTCTAACTTTGTGTTCTAGCATCTCAGAGTAGTATTGGCTATTGATAGTTCACTGATCTTCAAGGAAATAGCAATAGACTGGACCCTGTGAGTCCTAAAACATGGTCAGCATCACTCTACCGGCGGAAGGTTGAACCTTGAATTTTTTGCGAACTGGAGAGCTAGTGTGTTTCCACTCCATACTCTGCCTTTTGGTCTTAGGGACGTAGTGATGGATCCAGACCTCGTCACTGGTCTCTATTCTTTCAAAAAAAGCGTCTCCTTCAATCAAACTTCGTTGCTTTAAGTCTTGACTAATGGAAAGCCTTGATTCTTTATGAGCGTCAGTAAGCTGTCTGGGAACCCATCTGACACACGTTTTTCTGTACTTTTAAATTGTTCTGAATGACATTGTGAACAGTTCCAACACTTACTTGAACTTCCTTAGCTATCATTTTAACAGTAATTTTTCTGTTATCACGAATAAGTCCGTCAATTCTCGATTCCAACGAAGGACCAGAAACTTCCACTGGACGTCCACATCGGGGTTCATCACCTACACTTGTTCGGCCACTTTTAAACCGATCAACCCACTTGTAAAAATTCGCACGGTTCATGCAACTTTTACCGTACTATATCAACATTCTAGAAAAAATTTCACTTGGTTTTACACCTTCTGCGACTAAAAATCTAATGACTGAGCACTGCTCTTCTAAGGTGCAATCTTCTAGTGGACTTGCCATGGTGAATTGAAAATGTTGAGGTCATGTTGACATAAAATGATGAAACAGCTGATCAGAGCATATCCCAAGGTTGCCAACTAACATCCCTGAAAAGACTGTACACATTCATTGAATAGTTTTAAAATTATAGAATTTGTCTCTTTACTTATTGAATGACCCTCGTATAACAATCAAATGTTTAAAATACATATTTGTTGGCTGAATTACAAAATACAGCATTCTTCACACATTTTATTACTGTCTGTTATTTCTGAATTCAACTATAAAGCATTATCTTTGGGACACGAGACTTGAAAAAATTGTATACATTGTAATGAGTAATTGAGCAACTTCTACATTTCGGTATAAGGATTCCATGTCCTCCATTCTAGGGGATGGCAAAATAATCGACTAATCGATTTCTTATTAATCTCTGTAGTTATTTCTTCAAAATATGTTTATGATATAGTTTTGAAATTGAAAATATCAACATACAAATATTTTTGTAGATTATACTGTATAATTAAGATTTTTTTATTGTTGCAGTTTCAAAACGGAAGATTCGGAAATAGACATTAGTGGCAACGAAGACTCGGATGATTCTGGCGGGCCGGACAACCATTCTAGATTAAAAAAATCAATAAATAAGGGCCGATGGAGTAAAGAAGAGGTTAGTGATTTATATGATTGTCTTTTTTTACATTATTTTTCAGAGACAATTCCAAAAAATCAAAATTAAGCAAAACAAATCGTATACAGTATGTCTATTTAAGTTGGAAAGTATGGAAAACTTTTTTATTATTAATTTTAAGAAAAAGATTTATTCTTCATAAAAAGTTGTGCAAGATCTAAAACATAAAATGCAACCATCATAATATATCAATTTTTTTCAGTCGTATACAAGGTTTATCAAAAAATATGAATTTTGTTCGAAAATTATTATAAAAAAGTTGATCAAAAATGAAAACTACGTTAATATGCAATAACATCCATCTTAACCTGATTATTTTTTACCAATGTTACTAAATTTAAATCAAGTACTTTTAAATTTTTTAATTTCTCTTGTGTTTATGGAAAACATGATATTTGAATGTATTTTTCAATTTTAATCAACAATTATAACAATTTTTGATATTGTCAAAAGAAACGGTAAGTATTTTACTTTTAAGCAAAATACATTTTAAAAAAAAATGTATATATGATGTTCCATTTTGTATTAGACTATGTAGAATTTTTTGTGAAGAATAACTTTTTTTTTTTAAATTAATAATAAAAAAGTTTTCCATATGATTCCAATTTAGGTATAATTAGATCATAAACTCTATTATATCCCCTAAGCACGCCTAAACTCTGAGACTTATAGCCTAACTTGACATCATGGTTTACCCTTTTTATTTATCTTGTTGGCAAGAAATTATGTGAACCATTTATCACGAATTTAAATTATCACTCATATTTTCACTAATATGCGTGTAAGAATAAAAGTAAGAATATTTAAAATAACCATCGTTACTCAATTTATACAATAACATAATACCTATACTTTTTCTACGATCACTATCCAAAGTAGGCTTTTGTACATTCAAATCCAACTGGAAAATTGGCGCGCTAACGCGTCAATGTTAACTTTGGCGTTTCCTTATTTTCATTTGCAGTAAATAAAAGAAAGATACTCATTAATTATTTCAGCTAATCAGTATTTTAAAACAAAATGGAGACTAATCTGAATATTTTAGTTGGGCAAATATTCAAACCCATTTCCCTTAATATTTAAACGATAATTGAATTATGTAATTAAAATAGATTATTTAATATACACCAATATAGTTAAATTGCATGGCAAATACATAATTAACATACCACTTTAACATGTATGGTAAATATACAATTAACAAATTCTCAATCTGCACGTAAGTAGGCAACACAACATACACTTAACACACGCTTCGCTAGCGGTGCCTATCAAAAAATAAACATAGTAAAATTTGAGTATAATTCGAGAGCAAAATTGCACTTTAGGCTCTTAATACGACTTAATTTTTCATTTTGCGTAATATATGCGACTATAGTTAATTAAGTTAAAAATAATTTTAGGACATAACTATACAAGGCTTTTTTGTTCCATTCTGTCTGCTTAAACACCTATTAAAATTGTATTTTATGTATGGGATTTACGTGAATAAATATATTACATTAACTAATACTACCTACAATTTTGAATAAATTTTTAAACCATTAGCAAATAAATAAATACACTTCAAATAATAAATAAATACGTCCTATATATTTAATTCACTTGTGTTTATGTTTTAGGATGCCAGATTAAAACAGCTAGTCGATGAATATAATGAAAAATGGGATATAATAGCAGAACATTTTCCTGACAGGTCAGACGTTCAATGTCAGCAACGATGGACGAAAGTTGTCAATCCTGAACTCGTGAAGGGACCCTGGACAAAGGAGGTATGTAAAACCTGTTTAATTTAATTGTTTTCGAAAGTCATTAACAAAATATGTTTAAGTTTTCACAGAGATACTTAAATTGTGCAAACAATTGTCTAAGTTTTGGTACAACAACATTCACCTTGCTTGCAGTAATTTTTATTTTAAAAATTAGATGTTTTCCACAAAGAAATACCAAATACGATCTTTGGCACTTTAACAAAACTAGTATAAAGCATAGTAAACCTACTTTCTTTACATAAGGCATACCGATTGAATAAATTCAAACAAATTTCTATTGACCATAGCTGTCAAATAAATGAAACGTGTCAATATTGGGTGGGTCAATTATTTCCGCTTGGTGCATAGCAGTTAAACTTAAGACTTAGAAAAAGCTACAGTTTACGAAATAAGCTGAATTTCTAAACAAAAGTCAACTACACAGGGTTCTCCATAACCACAGAATATGTATCATGATCATTTTAAGTAGTAAATGGAACGCCCCGTATTTTTTGTTGTTGTTATTTGATTTTATCTTTAATAGTCTGCATTTAAATTGCGACGTTGTCATGTGAACGAAGACGTAATATCGTAATATTTTTTTCTGCATTAGTTGAAAGCCCTACATAATTAACTGTTACTTAATATAGAGTTTATTTATTTACAGAATTTTATAAAATTTTCATAACAAATTCAAAACAATTGACACCGTTAAAACGAGTTATAAATGTAATACGATACAAACTAAGTTAGAGAGTTAGGGAGTAAAAAAATATTAAAAAATCGGTAAAGTATTTTACCCAGAATATAGGAATTGTAAAAGCAGGGAACTCCTAAGCACTAAAATTTTAATAATTTAAAATTTAAACCGTCAAACTCAAAACCCCTTTTTCACGTTTATCTTCCTCTTAATCAAACCCGAAACCGCATTTCGCTCCACTCGGTATTCTTCGTCACGTCACCTTCAGCGTTATTGAGCAATAATGATTGGCTGCTTTTAAAATGGTCCAGTACTACAAACCAAAAGGACACTTTATTATTTCAATTCAAGGAGGACTTTTTTTTATTAAATAGGGTTCCTTTCAACGCCATCTTAATTTTTTTGACTTCTAAAATTCTCAGAAACCAATTTTAGTCGAAATCTGCCGACTTTTAAAAATATTTTTAAACACTGCTCACCCTGTATATAACTGATCGGAAGTATAGCTAGTTTTGATTCAGAAAGGAACCTTATCTGCATACAATTTTTTTAGTTTTTCTATAAAGCCGTTTTTGAGCTGTCGCGCCGACAGACCGATGGAATGAGTAAACATGTTTTTCCTACGACCACTTAGGAAAGTGACACATATCACACTATATAGTCCTATGGAAAGTGCCCTATATCACACGCGTATGAATAAGAATTTACTTTCCACCTGAGTGAGAATATGTTACTTTCCGCAGCAGCTGTCATAAAATGTCAAACCCATAATTTCTATTTTGATCGATGTAATGTCCATATTAATACTAAAATCGATATGATTGTTAAATTATTGAAATTGTTGTAAATTAGATTCTAGATATTTATCTTTAACAATTATTATTAAAATAATTTTAAAATAACTAAGATTATGTTTGCTTTTTATTCTGGTTAAACATATAACCGATTAGATCATTCAATTGACCAAAGGCCTGTTAGCTCAGTTGGTTAGAGCATCAAACTATCAAATTTGCCATTTGAACCTGGCGAACGACCGCGTTCGAATCCTGGCGGGGCCAGAACTTTTTTGTTTTTTTTTTTATTTTTTGTTTAAAAAATATGAAAATTGATTAAATACGATTGTTGTTGATTATTTTTTTTAAATACATTTTAATTATAATAACCTGGTTTTACATTTTTTGATGAAAATATTTTGTGGTCGTAGGAAAAATATTGTACATCACTTGTGTGAAAAGTGATTTTCCACACTCATGTGATAGTCGCACTCGGCTTGTGCCTCGTGCGACAATATTTCCCACTCGTGTGAAAAATGTCACTTTCCACACTCGTAATGTAATATACTATTTCGTAATCTAGGGGCCCTAAAACGTGAAAATCTGAAATAATCTCGAAAGGTGACTTTTTCACGTTTACAATACTTTCCTCTTGTCAAGGGAAGAAAAAATAAAAATAAATAACATGAAAATGTTGAATAATTTGAAAATTCGGAAACGAATATCAAAAATCCCCTTACGAATTATTAAGACCATCCCTGAACCCCGGTTTAAACTGAAAATGTCTAACAATTACATATTAACGTAATATTTTTATATCTCTTTTAAAAACAGGAAGAGAGGTATAGACAATATCAATATTATTCTGGTGTTTGCTATCCAAACGTAAAATTCTGGATATTGTTTCACTTTGTCCGCAGTTAGTTTAATGAAAATGTATATGAACTAGTTCAACATTCTGTTCATTTACATTGAACAGTATTATATTTAATAGTTATTTATTTAATAGAATTTAAAATCATAAACAATATGTTAACTTTCCCTCAATGACACCTGTAGGATAAAATACCTGTTCGTCTTGTTCTGTGATTATGGAGCACCATGTATATTTTATAAATGGTATTATACTGAATTGCAACTTTTTTTGTAAATCTAGTTTAGCTGATTTCCGAGCAGAAATGGCATACAGTGTAATATAATTGAAATATTCTAAACGATAAGAGATGCAGTGTTGGTTAAATAAGAAAAAAGTTGCGCTAGTTCATGCCAAAAATATCTACAGGGGTGTCTAAAATATCGGATAATAACAAAAAATTGGCACTTTGGAAAACTTACGATATTGTCTACATCGTTTGAGCAAATTTAACGAAAATTTAGACTTTTGTATTAAGAGCTATATCCAATCGATTGGTGCTATAGACAAGTTTCTAGGCCGCCTAGCTTTTGAGCAACCATAGCCAACTTTGTTATTTCCGAGGTTATTTCTTATGGCCGCCATGTTGTATTTTTATACCATTGAACAGCCAACAAAATGTCCAATTAAAAATTATTACCCGATTTTGGCAACTCCCGTAGATCTTTTAGATTTCAAAGCAGATTCTTAATAAGCATGAAATAGCGCAATGTCTCTCTGATTTTCCCAACACTGTATATCTTGCGTTTAGGAAATTCCAATGGTATACACTGTAAGAGTGGCCACCCTGTTTATATAATCCGTATTTGACAGATGGTTTGAACCATTTTTTAGGATCATACATGGTCAAAAAAATCTGATATCTCACAAATCCTAAAAGAAAATAGTTCCGATGTAAAATGTGGGTTCTACAGGGGTGTTTCTCTCTTAAATGAGTCACACAGTATATGAACATTTAGCATTTTATTTTGAACAGTTTTAGAGTATATTTCATACGAATTGTTTAATATTTTACTTTTCTATTACAACTTTGTTATTAAATAGAAAAAGTGATATTTTACAAATTTCTTTCTATACATTTTTTTATTACTTTTCATTTTTATCGTACAATGACCAACTGCCACAACACAAACGACTAAGATACTACGCTTCTACGAACAAGTGTCTAAAATAAGTACCACATCGAACCCTTTTATAAAGTTGTGTTGTATTCAAAACATGAAAAATTCCCTTTCCGACCTAACTAGTAGTTTAAATTTAAAAGGAGGTCACACGATGGCATCCGGTGTTCTAATAAAAATATTCTCTACTTACTATTGATGCGTTTTTCATGTAAAGGTATCTATTATATCATCGAATATCTACACTATTGAATATTTCATCTATTCGATAGATATATTCCTCCTCAAAGAGTTTTTCGTCCGCCGGAAACCAGGTGGACTATTAATCGATAAATTTGCATAAAAATGTATGCTTGTATTTTTTTCAGCTAGTTATAATACCAGTTGCGTTTAATCTTATTGATAAACTTAAAACTTATCAAAATTCGGCGTGCCAATCTTACGTAAGATATGAATGGATATTTATTGAGTATGAGACGCGGTATTCATTCTAAAATGAATATTAATTCCGTAGTCGGAACGTCCCAGTATTTTGTTCGAGGTCATTATTAATATTAGGAAAAGAAATGTCCTTATAACCTTTGCCGAAGGATCCGGAAATATATTTTTTTTTAAATAACTACCAGTTCATCAACTGATAAGAGTAAAATTAATATTACTAAACTATAATAAAAATTCAAAGCAAAAAACCACTGTATATTTTACTGAAGAGATCAGTAAGAATTTAGAATTTTAAAAATAAAGATGGATCCACAAAAAATCTTTATTATAAACGACACATCTATTATATATGTTTTATTATAATTATCTTTAATTGCTCGTTTACTATTATCCAATTATTTTGGTAATTTTTAATGTGTTAATTTTCCTGATTATAATTATTAATTTTAATTTTTAATATGTTAATTTTCCTGATTATAATTATTAATTTTACGATAAAAATTCGTTTTTTTATAAAAAAAAACTTATCGAGAAAACAAGATTACCCTTTAAAATCTTAGATCATATATTAATAAAACATGAAAAGGTTTTAAGAGACAAGTAGCATTAGGTATTTATTATTTAAAACAAAATACTTATAAATAAGAGTTTTTTGCAATTCAAAATAAATCCTGAATTCAAAATTTCAAATTAAAAAATCGGCTATCTTGATTTTTCATTAAATTCTAACAAATAAATGCACATATGTATAAATAATCGTAAATATACTATTCTAAATAGAATTTTTTTTTTTTAATTGAACATTTGTATTCAGGCTTTATTTTGAATTACAAACAACTTTATTTTGTACGCATTTTGATTTAAATAATAAATAATGATACTTCTCTCTTGAAACATTTTGTTTTATCAATTTATTTACACCCTCTACATCTGATTTAATATTTTTTTATGATATTAACGATTTTTCTCGTCTTGTGAACTCCGTCCGTGGATACACTATAGTTTCAAAACATGACAATCTAACAAGATCGGCTCAGTTGTTCTTTGTTCGCCTAAAAAAAAAGCTATGAATA